GTTATACGGCTTGTATTGGATCAAACTTACTTATCGATAGTGTCCTGAGGACTGTTTTTGTTCCAATAAATGTCATAATACCTGCATTTTTTTGTTTTTTACATTAGTAAGCAATCAGTGCAAGGATAATAATGTACTCCAAATGCTGAAATCTAGCTATTATATGTATATCCCCTGTTAGTTAATAACAAAGTTACAGTATGCGTGCGGTAAACAAAAATGAATTAATTTACCCTCGGTTATCTTCTGCGTAATCCGATTCCAGCAAATTATCGATGCCGTGGTACTTGATTCCGGTGATCATTCCGGCAGGGGTTGAGAAAGTCACTTCGAGGATACCATTGTCGAATGCCACCTGTCATCATGCGGTTTGATGGATTTTAGATTAAAATTCCTTAGTAGATTTGTGCATATTATATATATAGAACTAAGTAAGTTATAATCTTTATTTATTTTTATTTTTTTTTCAAATTTATGCCCAGGAAGTTAAGAAGATAAGTTCTCCAGTTTATGAAAGGTAACTTTTATACAAGAAAAATGTAGAGAGTGAAAACAGTAAATAGTTAAAATTGAGGCCTTTACATGGCCTGCCCATTGATACAACTGAACTGCAGGGGAATTCATCCCTCTGGGAGTGGGAGTGTAACTGATATGCTTGTGAGTCCTGCTGCAGGTAGAAACAAAGAAAAGATTTTAAGCCAAAGGGCAAAAACAGAGAGATAAAAAGTAGCAAACTCCACACAAAAAAGAAAAAAATAAAAAATAAAAAATCATATTTTAAAATAAGAACATAATAAGCAAACAGTTTTTCCAAGATATCTAAGTACCTGGGTTGTACTCTTCCAACAAATATATATACTTTCACACTTAAATATGACATACTTTGAAATATTATACAAATACAAGTATGACATAGTATACTTATGTTTTTTCTTAAAAACAAATATGGCTACCTAAGGTTAATTAACAGCCCAACACCAACATTTTTTTGTATATTATCCTTCAAGTTTCCTCATTGAATTTTCACCCCAAACACACTCCTAGTTTTGCATGATTTTATTTATTTTTTTGGTTGAAGATTATATGCAGCCCCCTTTAACTATTTTCCACATCCAGGAAAAAATGAAAAATAATATGTGAAGTTGTATAGAGCCTACAAGACCTTTCTTTTTTATTATGTCTATACATGACATGGCCAAATTCTGGGTCGAGTCCGGGCCGTAGGGTACCCGGGTTCAAAATCACCGACCCTAAACCGACCCTTACTTAGGTATGGGCCGGGTACATGACCTAGAGGGTTGGGCCCAGAATCTGGACCTGTCCTAAAAAAAAATTGAATAAAATCTACCGTTGATTTCCCGATTTGGCCCAACCCTAATATTATTAAATCGTTGGGGTATAAAATATACATACAAATAATTTTTTTATTATTTTATGTATAGTTGTAATATAGAAATAATGTAAATATAATTTAAATTTTATGTAATTAATTAACCGTTCAACATTGACAAATTTTATTAGACATGCCAGAAGTGATTTCTTTTTAGATGCCCTTTCTCTTCAACTAATAATGAGACAAGGGGGAAAAAACTCTTTAATTTCATATTATTTTGGGTACTACATATAAAAAGAGATATATTTCCATATATTTTTTCAATTATATTTACCCCTATAGGCTATAGTGACTTGAATAAAGAAAGATATATTTATAACTAATTAGTTGTACGAAATAAAAGACGAATGATGAATGAATAACAAGTTACAAGCAAATCCATGCATGCATCAATAGTTGCATCTGATT